GCTGACAATTGAGTATTTAATAAAGTTTTTACATATAATTTTTTCATATAGGCAAAAAATACTTATACATAGGCTAAAATATCGTAACTACTTCGGGAACTATTTCACAATTTTTTGTTTCTAAATTTTTTCTAATTAAAAAGAGAAAAATATTTTCTAATATAACCTGACATATGTAGGTCATCATTACACTTTCACATATTGAGTAATCCACGCTTTTCTTAACGCAATAGGTGTAGCTTCCTTCACAAATCAGACTTGCTTTGTGGCAAATTCTCATATTTTTTTTGGTCGTACATTATTGAAAAAAATTGTCAAATATCTCCCTTCCGCCATTTTATTCTTTATTCAATGCTTTATATAAAGTGTTACAGTAATCGGATTTAGTTCAAATATGCGCCGTTTCATTCGGTAATCTGTTTCCATTTAGACGGCAACTTCAGAATACCCCCCTCATAGAAGCCTACCTCCTTATTTGCGAAGAACTGTAACAGCCACTTTTCACAAGCCTCTTTTGAGTTCAACTTTACACCAACAAGGGCGTTCGCCATGGACAAGAACAGGTGGTAATCACTTGGCGCTATGGCCGAGCTATATAGTGGATGCGATAAAACCTTCCACCCCCTTCCGTAGCTTCTGACGAGTCATCAGCGAAGTGTGTGGTCTGGCGTTGTCCTGGTGGAACACTATACCCTTCCTGTTGAACTATTCTGGACGGTTCTGGTCGATCACCTTCTTTAAGCGGTCCAGTGGCTCTCATTGGAGGATAGAATTAAACGTCTGGCCATATGGGGGCAGCTCATAGTGGACGGTTCCCTTCCAATCCTGGCCGTCAATTCCGGCTTGTTTGGGACGATTCACCGGCCTTCGACCACGTTCATTTTCGCTTGATATTGTCGTATGTGATCCTTTTATCATCGCCAGTCACCAAAAATGTGTCGAGTTCGTTCCGCAGCATATCGTAGGCGTTGATTCGGTCAAGAAGGTTTTTTTGCGCCAAATCACGCGGCACCCAAACCATTCCTCCGCAGTTCGAAGAGATACAGTACCATCCCCCAAAAGACCATTAATCTCACGGAACGTTTCTCCAGCGGATTTGCTTTTATCGAAGGAAAGCTTTAAAATAGCGCGAATTTCGGTGTTAGTGAACTTCATGTTTACACGTCTATAACTGTTGGACGCAATATCCAAACTAATCATGCATATCGTCGTTTTGTAAGTTATACCTTTCCAAATATTGTCAAATACGAGCTCTGTAACGCTTTATACATAGCCGCGAAACTCAAAAAACAAAAAGGCGGAAGGAGATATTTGTCAACCTAATATAAACATTTTTTCATTAATTAGAAGCACGTACCGGCTCCCACAAATTGCGCAACAGTTAACCGTTCGGATTCGGATTCCGAAAGCGTTTTTACGGATGATGATGATTGGACATACCCGATGCCTTTGCGAGAAAATGTTGGTAAGTATTATACTTACTAACTATTTCTGTGTAATTTAAATAATTAAAAATTTTTCTTTAGACCGAAATACAAGGCCTTCCGACAGCTCCGTTGAAAATGAATCCTTTGTTTTAACATATTCGCAACGTTTTTCTAAATTACCTGATGATGTAAATGATAAATCGAATGTTTTCAAATATAATGTGGACGCTGAAAAAAAGAATCAACCGACCGAAATGAACAAAAAGTATAAAAATAAACAAAATTTATCCCTTGATTTTAAAAAGAATGAAAGGTATTTAAAGAAAACTATATAATAATACAGTTTGCGTAATAGATTTTAATATTGGTTACAGAACTTTAAAAGAAATATTACAATTATCCGATACGGAAAATACTTCGCCAGCTATAGGGCCACTGGATGCCAATTCAATAGTAGACGAAAGTTATGATATACCACGATCTCATCAGTTGCCATATCATAATATAGATCAAATATTTAACGAAAAGATATGGACCCCGGAAACTGAAGAGTCTTCACATTATGCATTGGCTACAACAGAACATCCGAAAACAAATAATCAAAAGAAATTACAAGAACATTTCTATGCAAACGCGGCACCTAACAAACTTGAAGGAAATGTTTTTCGTTATGATTTTATACAACACGTAAGTTATACGAGGACTGCTATATATATTTCTGGCCTAATAATGAAAATAGGAATATTTATCAACGAAAATGGTTTTATTGTTTTTCAAACTATTCTCCATCAAGATTTATACACTTTTGCATACGCTCAAACCAATTTTCGAACGCCGATTGATTCGTCTTCTTTTGTTCGTTTTTCGAATTTTTCCGAAGACTTCAGGCAAACAAATGGTGGTGTACCACTCAGAATTGACCGTACTACGTTGCTCAAGCGGAACAGTCGCCACATGACCATTTTCGCCGAAGAGACAGGCGACCATTTGCTTCGAAGTGCTTCTTCCACGAACAACTTTCGTTGGATTTGGCTTGTCTTGGAAGACCCACACGGTCGATTGCTGTTTTGTTTCGGGCTCATACGCATAGATCCATGATTCGTCACCTGTGACGATCTATAAACGTCTTTTGAAGTACCGCGATCGTATTTTTTCAGCATTTCTTTACACCAATCCACACGAGCCTTTTTTTGAGCGATTGTCAAATTGTGCGGGATCCAACGAGAACAAACCTTTTTTACGGCCAGGTGTGCATGCAATATCGAATGTATGCTGGTAGGAGAAATGCATAGGCATGCCTCTATCTGATGGTATGTTACATGACGGTCTTGCATTATCAGTACACGCACAACGGCTGTTTTTGGACGACCTTCACGGAATTCGTCTTTGAGCGAGCGTCGGTCACGATTGAATTCGTTATATCAGTTTTTCACAGTGCTATAGGATGGTGCTTCATAGCCATACAAAGATTTTAGTTCATCGATGCACTCTTGTCGTGATAATCCAAKTCGAAAGTTGTGAAAAATGATCGCACGAAAATGTTCACGAGTTAATTCCATTTTTTGGCCGAGATGAATTTTTTAATTCCCTGTAAATAGTACAATTCACGATTAAATGACAAAACGTTCTGAGTGATGTTATGCTAAAAAATGTCAAACTTTCCAATGGAAATGTCAGATTGCACCTGGCAAAACTTAGTGTTGCTTAGGTCAGAAGGGTATGTTAACTCAGGTGTCCTTAAATGAATTATAAAATTCCGTAGAAAAATTAAACAACTTTTTACTCCTAAGTTTAATAATTCGCTTGTTTTTGTGGGCAACACTATTACAACAAACTTCGTCAAGATATCTTGTCAAATAAAAAAGTACTTACAGGACATGATTTTTATCGTTCAGTCGGTATTGCAGTTATATGTAATGGTGGTCCGATATCGGCTCCGATAAATGAAAGGGTTCTTGGAGACAAAAGGATTCTGCCGCTACAACAACAACAACAACAACAACAACAAAAGGATCTATGTAAATTTCAGATCGATATCTCTAAATGATCTGGATGCTGATATACATATCTTAAGATATCCGTCGTCCCCTTCTGGTTATTACAAATTGCATCAAATTTAATATACTTGTTTTGGGTTTGGTCCGATCATAGTTGAAAGGTTTGTAAAACTGCTGCACCCTAGAAAAGCAATAATAAACTTCTTCCCCTACCTTTACACACAAACAAATGACACAATTTAGTTTGTCTGAATTTATGGATGGGATAATATGTATGCTTAAAGATAAAGTTACTTTAATTAATATATTTGTAATGTAAAAACATGCTACATATTTAATCTCAATATTTATATTTAAAGACCGAATTGCCCCCAGTAAACCGCAAACTGAAACCAAAACTTAGTATTAACAATAAACTACCTGAAGGCGAATCCGAAAATCAATGTGTGCCAGAGAAACCTGTAAAGAAGGGATTTATAGAATCTTCAACTCCACCTTCAGTGGATAGAAATCTAAAACCGAATGTGTATAAGGTAAATCATTATAATGTTTTAGAAAACGTATATAAGTATGCATACCAAGTTGATTTACAGGCAGTCAATTCATCATTATTGGAACATGGAATGCGACGTTCCGTAGATATATCTTCTTCAATAGAAGTAATGCCAGAAATAGATGAATATATATTAGAAACTCGCACATTACCAAGGAAAATTAGTTCACTTTTGGATAGAAGTAATAATGGCGGGCCTACAGATATTTCAGTTTTACATCAGCGGTCAAAATCTACAGCAAATTCAATGTATCAAGAGTCTGCTGAATGTAATCCCCTACAAAAAAACACAAAAAATGAGCATCGACTACAGTATTTTGATTTAGATGTAACGAATCCACCAACAATAAATCGACAGAGCATAAGCACAAGCAATTTAACCAAGGAGGAATCCAGCAACGTCGATTTATTGCCGAAAAATTCTTTGAAAAGCGGTGTAGTTTATAATTCAGTAGATTTTGTGAAAACTGAAGCATTTAAGCGTATCCGCGAGGAACGTAAAAAAGAAAGTGAAGGTGTAAGTTCTAAATAATTTGTTCCCTATTATTTGCATTTACAATATAATGATTATAGTTTTGTACAGTCAGCAAAATAATTAATTTGTATGTGTTAACGTGTGTTACATTTATTTATTATTATTTTGCATTTTGAAATCTCAGACATTTCTACGAAATTTTCCAATTAATTTTTTGTTAAACTGCTAGAAAATATAGTCTTTGCTAAATATGGTATATCATACTTTGTGCAATTAGTCATAGTACCCAAATGTTTATATAATAAATGAATGCATATACTATACTTTTTTATGCAATTATTTTTTTTATTGATTTTTTGTTTTGTAAAAGACAAGCAGAAAAGATAAAAAAGGACTTTATATAAATAAATTTTGCTGGTTTTGTTTTTGATTAGTAGGCTTGTTTATATGGCTTTGTAATGCTTTTTGACCAATATTTAGCGTACTGGCAGCGAGGAGACTTTATGAAATATCAATGGATCTTCACATCTCTGAAGTAGTCGGCCGGTTGGGGCAGTATATCTGTTACCATAATGACAGCCACCTCATTTTCAATTTATTCCTGGAAAAAAATCCATTGCGATCTTTTTCTTGCGGATCCATCTAATTCACATGGTTATCGCAGTAATATACATATAATACTATTGCAAAAAAAATCATAGCTCGTTAAGTTTTATAGGTAGGTATTTGGAAGAAATTTTATTCTATGAAACTTGTTTACTGGCAATTCTAATACTTTGCAAACAATTTTAATAACGTAACTGTTCAACTTTAGAAACTTGGAAATAATATGCATAAAATAGGTATTGCAAAACTATAAGACTTCAATGCTACTCTGATTGTGTTCTGTATATTTTTTGAATTAGAAGTGAATAATAATTTATTTAAAATGCCTAAGTGAAAACTGTTAACAGAATTCGAGAAAGAAAAAATTTCTAGCCCAAGCGAAAGCTAGAGTGAAAGCCATTGGGTCAAAACTTGTACGCAGTCAATGTGTGTTATCCAATTATTTGAACAATCCAAAGATCTACGGAGGTAATAAAAATGGTGGATGCAAACGAAAATTGTAAACGTATACACGTCCACACTTTCTAGCCTAGCCAGCGTAAAACCATATAGAGGATTATAAAACCTAGTGTGAACATAATACGGGCTAAGCTAATTGACCCTGAAGTACAGCAGGGCGGCACTTCTACCTTCCTACGGGCTAAACTAAATCGAGTACCACGCCCGTTATCTCGCCAAAAGGCTGACCTGATGAGTTTTGCCGGGAGCAACATCTCAAGCAATTGAACGTCGATAATTAATATTCTTATATCAACAATTATAAAACTTGGATTGAAAATGTGCTTCAAGGTAATGTTTAGATTAGATTTGAATATGAGGAATGTACCGCGACCTTAGGTCTATTGTGCCCTCTCCTAACTCACATCGACTCACTTAGCCCCAGCGCATCGATGAAGTCCAGTAGCCTGATCGGTGCTAGTGAGGCGATGCGATCCCTCAAGGTAATGTTCAACGCGGAGGAATTCCGTCATAGTCCATGAGTGGGATCAATTGGACACTAATTCAAATAAATTATTAAACTGGAATAATAAAAAAACATTTATTACATAATACTTAAATAAAATTGAATAATCATAAAACTGAATCGTTTTCTAGTTTGCAACACTTTTTCATTTTTTTCCCCCAATTTTTAAAGTTGTACAGTAGGGCTATTGAACAGTTGTATATACCACATATTGAGAAGTTTTGGAATTTTGTGAGGTCTTCCTTATGCTGAGGTGAATTCAAAAGCTTAAATGCCCACAATTTCCTCACAAATTTGTGATATCTGAAAGCAAACCTCACAATGCAAAATCGGTTGTGTTCTGTTAATTTTAATATTTTTAAAGAAATTTGCAATTATTTTATTGAAATAGAATGGCTGAACTTTCAAATGCGTTATCTATTATAAATATAACTATTTGTCTATTACAATTAATATGTAACTTTTGTCTTTGTACATTGCACATTTTACTTCTTTCTAGGTATGAATAAAAATACATGTTTAAATAAATCAGCTATTTAATTAAATATACTTATTTAATAATATAAGATCTGATAAATACTTCATATAAAAATATGTAATCCTAACTATTTAAGAACACATAGATGAGACAAAATGAAATGGTTCTCCCTACGTGATATGCGTCAATGTATTGTGATCTGCAAAATATAGAAATTAATTTATGTATTAGTATTTAATTTTTCAATGGTATAATATTAGCTTACCAGTGGTTTAATTTTTCTGTAAGGTTATTGAGCACTGTTGTCATAGCTGTTAGTGCTTGCGTCATTTGGCTCAATACCCCCGTCAATTGTAGGTTTTGCTCCGAGGTTTTTTGCAGCTCCTCTCGTCTCTCCCGTGCCATCTGCATCAAAACACCCATCAACTGTTCGTTTTGCTCTAAAACTTTTTGTTGTTGGGAAATGACCCGCTCTTCCCGTCTCTCGTGCGCCTTCATTTTTTTTAGTACTGTTCCAAGCATTTTCACTGCTGTTGGTTTAGGGGCTTCAGAAACGATTGAAGCAGAAGTTGATGGTGTAGGAGAAGTTAGGATGGGAGGAGATAACCTAGAATGGGATACATCAGGAGAATATACGATAAGAGGTGGTGAAGTGGGAGGTGAAGGTGACGAAGGTAAAGTGCGGATATATATAGCAGGAAAAGCTGGAGCAGGATCTGGCGATGGAGTTGGAGCAGGAACGGGGTCCGTTGTTGTATACAATGGCGACGATATCTGTAAGTATAAAACGGGCCGATTAGTGGCTTTTATAATTATAAGGGTATATATATGTGATAAAAAAAAAGAATTATATGTGAGTACAATTGTTATGTGTAAATAAACAAAAAATACCTGGTGATCCGAACTCCCAATATCCGGCACTCCATCAACCGTTGCTGTCCCAAAGGTTGAAATTTCCTGCACCTCAACTGCCGGAGGATCTCCACTAGTAATTTGCGGGCGGGCTTTATCTTTTCGCGCTCGGCTACGCAACTGATGCTTCCAATGCGTTAACGACTATGTTTAAAAATATGTATATTATTCTTTCGTGAAACAAATAAACACTTTTAAACTTACCTCCTTCCATTTGATTGCTGTGCGTGTTGGCCCTTTTAAGGCATTTAATATTTCTGCTAACTCCGACCACAACATTTGCAGCTTTTGAGGGCTGGTCAGCTTCTTTCGTTGCAACTCAGGATGCTGCTTGCAGAACATTATATAATGCTGCAGCTGCTCCTGAGTTGTTCTTTTAAATTTTAAATTCCTAAAAATAAATTAAATTATTTATGCACCAAATTTAATAGATTTTCAAAAAATCTTACTTTTCCTTGTTGCCCATTTCTTTATTCAGCTTTGTTTATTTAAAAAAAAAAAAACTGTTAGACACTGAAATTCTTTTCACCTAAAGTGGTGAATTTTGTGTTTTTGTTTTGTGAGGTTTGAATAAGAATAACCTCACAACAAACCTCATCAATTTTTCCTCACAAACCAGTTGTGAGGTTTTCTCAGAATATTGCCCAAAATTGTTTCCACAGTATTAGAGTTGCCAATACACATGTTTTCTAGAACAAGCTTTCTTCTAAATAGTTACCCAGCATCTCGACAGGCAAAAGTTTATGGTAAACTAACCGTCAAACCTATCGCCACTGCCGTTGCCAAATCTGTATTAAGGCATTTGTTATCATAATGTAATCATTTGGGAAAGGGTTCGAGCAGGCAAGTACGACTATAGAAGCGCTTAAAAATTTGAAAAGTTTTTTTGAATTGAAAAGTTTGAAAGGATGGACAGGATTTTAACAACTTTTGTCATAATGTCTGTTGACCAATTTGGTGAGGCTTTTTTTCTTTGGCGATCCTCTTGCAAGAGGAACTCTTATAATTACGTAAGCATTCGAATTGATTGAATACGCTTATTAAATTTACAACTTCACTCAGTCGCCAATCCATTCGTTAAGGATTTTCTGCAAAGTAACAATATTAAACTGAATACTGATTTTTTGGAAAAATACATTAAATTATTTTGAAAATGGTACTTACTATATTGCATATATGTATATGTCACCTCTTCTAAATAGTGATAGAAATGAAAACTGAGTGTTGAAGTGAAAGTCATTGCGTGCAATAATTACCATACGAATTTTCATGTCATATATTGGATTCCATAAGCAATATGGAATCAACATAGGCAATACGTACGGAAATACAGTTAGTAAACCACAAACTGTTGCCTGTCGAAATGCCACGTTATAATTTTGTAACAGAGTGTAGAGCCCTGCAAGATGGGTATCTGTTAGCAAACAGGTAAGCGACCTGCTATTGCTCACTTTTGGAAACGTTAAACTATTTGTTACTTTTGTTCAGAGAGTAGGGAAAAAGTAACACATCATCATTTGATATTCAAGGATATCCTCGCACTAGCCAATGGCAAATATTGTTTACTGTCTTTTTCTAACAGAATGACATACGTTTGTTATCAAATCCTTTTACCGTCTGTTAAGATAACAGATTCTTTTGTTAGCGCATATCTTACCTATATGTTATGCATAACAGAAAGTATTTGTTAACCAAATTTCTGTTAGCTTTATTATTTTGGTTAGCAGTAACAATCATATCTGTTACCTCGATATGTTAATATATTTGATACCCATTTGTTATTTTAACAAATACAATTCTTTTAAATAACATTCAGTATTTTTATATTATTTTGTTTTATTTTTTCCAATATTAGAACTATATTTTCTTAAACTAATTGGTAAATGAATTAATTCCATATATGTATGCATAGTGTGTGAGGAATAATAAATTTTTATACTCTCGCAACAAAGTTGCTAAAGAGAGTGTTATAGTTTTGTTCACATAACGGTTGTTTGTAAGTCCTAAAACTAAAAGAGTCAGATATAGGGTTATATATACCAAGGTGATCAGGGTGACGAGTAGAGTTGAAATCCGGATGTCTGTCTGTCCGTCCGTCCGTCCGTGCAAGCGTAAATAGATTAAAAATTGAGATATCATGATGAAACTTGGTACACGTGTTTCTAGGCTCCATAAGAAGGTTAATTTCGAAGGTGGGCAAAATCGGCCCACTGCCACGCCCACAAAATGGCGAAAACCTATAAAGTGTCATAACTAAGCCATAAATAAAGATATTAAAATGAAATTTGACACAAAGGATCGCATTAGGGAGGGGCATATTTGGACGTATTTTTTTCGGAAAAGTGTGCGTGGCCCCGCACCTGCTAACTTTTTTGTATATATCTCGAAAACTACTATAGCAATGTCAACCAAACTGTATAGAGTCGTTTCTTTTAGGCATTTCCATAAATAATTCAAAAATGGAAGAAATCGGATAATAACCACGCCCACCTCCCATACAAAGGTTATGTTGAAAATCACTAAAAGTGCGTTAACCGACTAACAAAAAACGNAAAATCACTAAAAGTGCGTTAACCGACTAACAAAAAACGTCAGAAACACTAAATTTTACGGAAGAAATGTCAGAAGGAAGCTGCATCCAGGCTTTTTTTMAAATTGAAAATAGGCGTGGCGTCGCCCACTTATGGACCAAAAACCATATCTCAGGAAGTACTCGACCGATTTCAATGAAATTCGGTATATATATAATCTTAACACCCTTATGACATGTACCAAATATGGGTGAAATCGCTTCACAACCACGCCTGAAATCTCGATTATCACTTTATCATGCGAGAGTATAAAATGTTCGGTGACACCCGAAGCCCTTCCTTACTTATATAAATACGAATTGTTAATTGAGGCTTTCAAAGTTATTAATAGATAACTGTCTAGCCATTTTTAACGTAAATATATTATACATATTATTACAAGTTATATTAACAGTACACTAAACGCAGTTATAGGTATAACTCTAAAACAATAACAATATGAAATTTCTTTCTATAACTTTAGGCCCCTGCTACTACTGTGAGCTCTTTGTAAGTTTCTCTAATAATTTTTTAAAATTTTTTTGTTTCCTACACATATACATAACGTTGCTGATAAAGACTATATATTTTCATTGAAGCGGATCTTCAAGATGAATTCTCAATTTCTACAAATTGGAATATTTCTATTTTTTTCTCTGTTACATTTTTTCATACGCAATAACTCTGATAATTGGCCCAGTCTGTGTCATCTCCCTATTTGCGGATAGAGTAGAGCACACTCATACTCGATCAAATCGTGCTTTGCAACTGGAACATAAACTTATTCAGCTCCTCGCCGTCGGCTTTGAACAGCTCAGCCGGTAATACACCGACTTCTGGGGCTTTGTTGTTTTTCGGCAGCCTTAGAGCTGTTTTATCCTCGTTTTGGGCGAGTAGCCAAGTGCGCGTTCTTCTTCATCCGTCGCAGCATTGCATTCACCATTTAGAAGTTTCGAAAAGTGTTCCCTTCAAATTTCGAGTGTACCTAGCCTAGCCCGCGACCCAAGCTTCATACACACGCCCTCTATCTTCTTTCTGTTGAAAATACGTCTTTTTGCCCTCCTCTTCTCGCGCTACCATACCCAAACGGCTGCATTTTAACTTTGTATGCTATGTTTTTTTCTACAGTGACGGCGTAACATTAATCATAGTACCAAGTATTTCTGCGAGGGTAGCAGTAATCTACCGCCTCTTCTGCAGAAAACAAGAAATGGAGTCCCACTGTTCGTATACGCTATCGCGATGGGAGTTCCTTTGGTTAAGAAGGATTGTCGAGTACGGTAACCTTTTGGTATCTGTTCCCAATATGTTGAAATTCCATAGGTGTCTTCTTTGCACACCTTTTGTTTGAAATTAGATAGCACGATCTTAATATTGTGAGAACTAAATATCTATAAAGAATTTAGTCCACATAACCTATAAAGGCACACTCTATTGTTCAAAAAACAACGGGAAAACCACGCCACTTCGAGCAACACAAGAAGATTGAGAAACCAGAAATGCAGATGAAATAATAAGTTGGGGAGTTGAGATCAGTCAGTCAGCACGGGACTGTGACATTGTACACACGTTTAGCATCAGACTACGCAGTAAGTATATCCTCTAGCTTGTGAAAGGCGTCTGTTAAGGGTAAGGCTTGGTAGTGAGTTTATCCTTTACCAACCATTTAACCTCGCGGTCCGGTATTTTTACGCGGCAAAAGTGGTTGAACAGGATATCACCAGCGTGGCAGAGGAGCGTTAACGTGTATACCAGAACAGCGTCATTGAAGCCTACACGAGCGTCGGTAGAAGTAGCCGAGCGCAGTCGTCGTAGCACGCGAGCGTCAACGTGTACGCTAGGACATCGTCATCGAAGCATACAGGAGCGCCGGCAGAAGTAGCCGAGCGCAGTCGTCTTAGCAGAGGAGCGTCAACGTAAAGGTGTTCTATTATTGAGGCCTACACGAGCGCCGGCAGAAATAGTCGAGCGTGCTCGTCGTCAGAGCGGGAAACGGTATTGTCCTTACTGACCACACTGAACCGTTACCCTGACAGCACTTCCTTGGACGACGACATTACAACGCTGGAGACAATTTTATAACTTTAATTAAAATTATAATCTATATACATAAATAAAAATGAATCGCCAAACTGTATGTACGCGCATAACTTTCATACGACTGAACCAAATTTGATAATTCTTTTTTTAAAATGTTCGTTGAGGTTCAAGGATGGTTTTTACAGAGAGGAAAATCCGAATAATTACCGGAAAACCCCTAAAAACAGCCCTTTTCTTTTTCTCATACAAACATTTTATAAAAATTAATGATTGTTTATTAGTAACGCTAAGAGAACGGCTCTTGATTAAATTTTCAGAGGTTGTTCGCTGTAGATCAAGGAAGGTTTAGAAATAAAAATATCTTATACTTTGCATGAAAAGTCGGAAAATTGGATAATTCCAAAAAGTAAATTTTTTCCATACAAATTTTTTTTTAAGTTTTGTTTTTCAATATTTTGATTTGTAAATTATTCAATCGTTCAATTTCGGTCGCTTGCTTTTTTATTCCGGCTGTTCAAAAAAAAAATTATTGAAAATTATTTACTGAAAACTTTCAATAGCAATACTTGCAACATATTTATATATTTTGAAACGGACAGACGAATGAATTTTTGTTACTTATTATTACTTTATATGCACTAATACGCTCTACTCTTCGATTTTAATTCATGTTTTTGCAGTTTTATCAGGAGGAAATTTATAAATTTGTCACCAGTTTTATTGAATAAGTGTGTTTAGAGGTTTATCGTGGTGTTATTTATAAGAAAATATTTACATTAATTACTTAGAGTTTTTTTGCAAAAGCAAAATAGTGTATTTTGTGTTTTGGAGGTTATTGTCGTGTTATTTATATAAAAGAAAATGGCAATCGTCAAGCGTCACATTATCGGTCGGCGTACGCGTAATGCAAGTCGAGTGCATAATCTTCGAAACAATGAACAGCGCAGGCAGCGTTTGGTGGCAAACAGAGTGCGAATTTCTACAACAATTACGGAAGAACCTATACCATCGACTTCAGGCAGGAGGCAACAAAGCAGACGATCAACCGGTGCAATTAATTATGAACGTTTGGCGTTTAGATATGAACCAACAGTCGATTACGCCGGCGACGAATCAGTCAATATTGGGACAATGACTTATATTTGTCAATATTGTAATGCCTTAAAGTTTCTACTAGAACCGTCAGGATTATGTTGTGCGAATGGAAAGGTCAAATTACCACAACTAACAACACCACCTGAACCGCTGAATTCATCACTTTTAGGACACGAACCTCTATCAAAGCATTTCTTGCAGAATATTCAAAAGTATAACAGTGTGTATAACATACTCAATTGAGGCTAAAGCATACAATTTAAAAGATTTATTTCATTTGCAGTGTACCTATGTATTTGTAGATATGTATGTAGAATAATTCTGTTAGTTTGAGTCACATCTTGCAAGTTAAATTTGATCTACTTTCCGTTATCCAAACAACCTATAAATTGGCATATGTATGAAAGTCAGGTGACAATACTGTATTATTGCAAGAAACGCGCTGGTCTAATTACGGGGATTGAAAGTAGAGTACTCTTAAACTTCAAAATATGTTAAATAAACTACTACTACTAATAAAACTTATTTTAAAAATGTTCGCTTATGTTCAATATTAGAGATTCAAAGACAAATTCACCACCGTGCAGGAGCATTGTTGCCATCAGTTGATGGCGAATACAAATATCTTCAGATTTATTTCCTTGGAAATTCTGAAAGTGAAATAAATCAGCGCTGTGGCATTAATCGAGCAACTAGGCGAAAGATCATTGTGCAACTGCAATAACTATTACATGAACATAACTTTTTGATTCAATTATTTAAAACAGCCTTAGAAATGATATCATCAGATGATCATAAAATAGTAATCACCGCAAACAAAAGACCTGCAGGTGAACATGAAAGACGCTTCAATGCACTTGTGTTAAACGAAGTTGTTATTGTGGTAGTTATAGAGAATATGGACTCTCGAGACATTGTAATTCAACGGCGTGATGGTGGCAACCTTCAGCGTATTAGTGAAACACATCGTTCATATGTTGCATTACAATACCCTCTATTATTTTGTAGAGGAGAGGGTGGATTTAATTTTTGAATCAAGGTGATTAATCCAGCGGGAGGATGGAGTCATGTGTAGAAGTTCACGCAAGTGAGAAAAGTTTTCTGATCGCCATTCACTTGGGAGTGGAAGATTCTTTTACATATGACTCAAGCGGCCCACGACTTCCGGTCCTTGACTAAGTATCCTCTGGGTAGCCTAAGAACATC